GGGATAGACAGGTCACTGTAGGGGATAGACAGGTCAGTGTAAGGGATAGACAGGTCACTGTAGGGGATAGACAGGTCAGTGTAAGGGATAGACAGGTCAATGTAAGGGATAGACAGGTCAATGTAAGGGATAGACAGGTCAGTGTAGGGGATAGACAGGTAAATAGAGGCCACAATCAGATAAGGCATGAATCTGTCAAATGGCTTGAGGGGGTGAAGGCCTATTCCTGCTCCAGTTTGCATGTACGTAGGAAGCCATTCAGCTTATTGTGACTGCTGGACCTTTGTAAGAGCTATCCATTTCGTTCTACTCCCTTCTCTTTCTCCATAGCATTGAACAGCTTTGCTTTTGAAGTATGACTCCAATTGCTCCTTAAGGGTGATGGCTGAATCTGCTTCCACCACCCATTTTAGGCACTGCATTTTCAGACCACACCCACTCACTTTGTAAAAGAAATTCTCCTCATCGTCTGTCTAGTTCTTGTTCTAGTTTAAAATTTGTGTAGTACAAGAACAGGAGGTATGGAGTGCAGAACAATAGGTAGAGGGGTACAGAAGAGCCCAGAGTTGCAGGAATGGAGAAGTGGTGGAGGAACAGGGCTGGACGAAGTGACAGAAATAGGAGAGGAGAGATCATACAGAGGTCTCCTTAGTGATAATGCCAAAGCCCTCCTAATTTGGAATCCCTTGCTACCTTGAATCCTTTGAGAACGGACGATACACATTGAGCTGATCCAGTCGGGTGTGGCAGATGAAACAAGAGCATGGCAAAGCTCCAGGGTGCATGCATCAATAACCAGCACATCCTGATACTGTCCACAACAAAGCAACCAGCCATCTCCAGACATCCGAAACGAACGGTAATAGTACTACATGAGGAGAATATCACAATTGTTTCATTAATAAGCCATTCCAAAGTTGCAAAGTCCAATTCAGAGTCATTGATTTTTTTAAAAAAATAGTTTGCAGTTAAATAGTTCACCTGAGATTCTAAATTGATTATTGTTATTCCATTCACATCACATTTTACAAAGGAGCTGGCTGTTGCTAGCCAAAAGAACTAAACTGATCAGAATCATCCTGTGTAACTTCAGTGTGCTCACGAATTGGATCAAGGTTTAGATCAAGAATCAAAATAACACAGGAAACCATTTGTCCTATTGTGTGTGTGTACTCTTCTGAAGAACAATCTGCCTAGTCTTACTCCCTGGATCTTTGGTAACACTCCCGCAATTCTTGCCCCTTCAAATAATTTATCAAGTTACTAATGCACATCAAAAACAGCAATTATCCCAGTACGTACTTAATCTTGGGGAATGCTGCTCCCCTCCAGTCTGCGAAACCACTGTTTCTATCACTTAGTCAATCTGCACTCAGGATGCTGCAGCCTCTTTTATCCCATGGGTTTCAATTTTGCTAACAAGTCCGCTATGCCTGCCATTTTTCACTGTGGCTGTTTTTCTCCTACAGGTTGTCTTTCAACAATAACTTTCCTGCAACTTAGGACTGATTGGTTTTATACTAGGTTCCTAGTATATTGACCAGTAATATCATTGCTTTTGCACAAACATTCTACAGTATTACCCCAATATAACAAGTGTTTAATCAACCCCGGGACTGAGTTTTAGCCCCTGTGGCACAAGCAGCAGAGACAGAAGGGGGTCCAAAACAAGTCAGTGTGCTAATTTCTCAGCACCATCCCTCTCCTAGGTCATGTATGCAGCGACAAGAGAGCGGGTGCAGGGTGGTACACATGAGCCTAGAATTATCTGAAAGGATTAATACTTCATTGATACTACCCACTGTGATGTTGTCATGAGGACGAGGTGAGTATTGAGTCGGATTTTGTGAGACAAACCAAAGTCTATGTCCTCCCAACAGTCTCTGCAGCAAGGTAGAGTTTATGCTTATAACCTGTAAATAGCTGCAGTGACACAATTTACCTTATATGATTCTTCTCATCGGACCAAAAGGTAGCTACACTCACATACTTTAGGGGAGCTGATGGTCTTGTGGTATTGTCACCAGACTATAAATCCAAAGACCCAGGTAATGATGTGAAGACACAGGTTTTAATCCTGCTGTGGCATATGTTGGAATCAGAATTCAGTAAAAATCTGGAATTAAGAATCTAATTAATCATGAATCCAGCATTTTAAAAAAATCCATCTGGGGTTCACTAATATTCTTGCAGGAAGGGAACTGCTGTCCTTACCTTGTCTGGCAACCAATGATGCCCATATGTATTTAAAAAAAAAACACTTAGAAGATTGTGGATGCGGGTGGTGACATCAGAGCCTGTTTGCAATGGGTGGTCTAGACAAGCTCATTGAACACAGGCAGGCTCAAGGCCTTCGGTCTGGATGTAACAGCAGCTCCCGGCTGCCCGATATTCCCATTCCCTATCTCCTCACAGGTGGCTTGGCTGCAAAAACATTATTTTACAAAAATTAAAAAGGAGTGAGAGAGGGTGCTTCCATTTTGAAGTCCCCTCTCCCTCACTTAGCTTACATGGAATCCTAGTGCTGCTTTCCTGTGTTAGTTGGATTGCAAGCCCACTCTCTGGCCATTAATTGACCGTTCTGTGGACAATCCCAATGAGCAGCTGTTTTTCCCATTTGATGGAGGGGTCCAGAAGCCCACTGCAGATTTTAAGGTGATTTGACCTGAACTCCCTCTGTTGCCTTTATCTCTATGGATTTCAGACTGCCTCACAAGCTCCAAACTTTGAAAGAAGTATGGTCTACCTTTTAACTGCTGGTTTGCGCTAGACATTTGCATCTCTGTTCTTATATTCTAATTGTTGATTATCCTACCAAGCTGATTGTATATTGCCAACCAATGATGAGGTGTTTGTGCAGCCCCCTAATGTCTTCCACTTTCACCTCTGTCTCTCAGGCTTGTTGTAAGTATGTGTTTACTCTCCTGTTAACCTTTAAGTGTTTGGTTCTTGCAGTTTGCTCTCAAACGAAACTTGTTTTAGGTAAACTCGGCTAGTATGTCACAAGGACATTTCAACTTACCACACTTAGGCAGGGTCTGATGGGAAAATGGACAATAGTGACGGTCAATATTCCAATGCGCATTGATACACATCCCAGGTCTCTAATGGCCAAAGTGAAAGGGACAGCACATTGCAGCCAAAGTCTTCACAATCAATAGGTTTCACAGCATATAGTCTTTCTCCCTGTCTGCTGTGCCACCCTATCTAAAATTCTTCACTTGGCAGTGACTCACCCATTTTCAAGTATTAACAACAGGGCTGAGACTTTGCAAATGAAAAACTTCTGGCATTCCAGTCGGAAAAGTCTTATATTATGGTGCTGTGGTTGCGTCTTGGGGACATGATCTTCACCGGGATGCCAACAACTTCTGTGCCCATCAATGACACTTTCAAAACATCTAATGCTGAATGTTGGTTGTGTCCAACATTATAAACTGATGGCACCAGGAATTAATTTACACCCTGATCTTGGGGCCACATTGAGTTAGTTAACATTAATTTGTTTTTCACAGGCATAATTTGGTAGCTTTGAACAAATTTTCTCCACTCTCGGGTGTCTGTCTGTGTGGAGTTTGCACATTCTCCCTGTGTCTGTGTGGGTTTCCTCCGGGTGCTCCAGTTTCCTCTCACAGTCCAAAGCTGCGCAGGCTAGGTGGATTGGCCATGTTAAATTGCCCGTAGTGTTCAGGGATGTGTAGCTTAGGGGGCGGTGGGGTGCTCTGAGGGTCAGTGTGGACTTGTTGGGCCAAAGGGCCTGTTACCACACTATAGGGATTATATGATTGTATGTATGATTCTGAAGTATTGAATTCAATCTCAGACATATAAAAGGAACCCTGGCCTCTTCATGAGTTCAAAATCATGGTTTTGTTTTCACAGAACATTAAAGTAAATGCTTTCGAAAGAACGGATAAAACAACCAGCATCAGTAACTTTCAAAAACTCTTTCAACATCATAATTTCCATTTCCATTCTTTCCAATTTCGATACATGATAGAGGGCACAACCAAATGTATCAAACACAGAAAGCATCACATCAAATGTCGAATACTCACATTGATTGCAGTGTGGGTGAAGGGCAGTTTTGTATGTTCTATACATTGGCCACTGGTAACATTCCAGAGACACATCTCCCTGCAAAGTGTACAGCAAATGTTATTCTTCAGCATTTCTAGCCAATTGACTGAAATCACTGTATAAAATCAAGATTTTTTTTAGTGCCTCATCAATTATGCCCAAAACTATCTTAAGTTGATTTTTTGTTGCTGTTGTAGATTGCTGAGCAAGACACTGTTTTGACCATTACTTAAAAGGGATGACATATCCGTGCCCTCCCTGTCAGAGTAATTACAGCCCCGCAGCTCAGTTTGAAGCCTCAGTATGAAACTAATTACTAACCTCCATCCAGACTGCAGCAAATTGCAGGTAAACTGACATCTTACCTCAGTTTGGTATGTTGTCCATCATGCTTATGAGTGGCATTCAATTAACAAATGGTGCCCTTCATTCAACTTAAACTTGGACTTCTTGCAATAGCCTTGCATCCTAAAGACTTTCACAGATTTTTTTTATCTTTCCAAGCAGTCCGATTACCAAGTTTACATTTTTCATGACTTCTTTGAAAACACAGTGCCACCCTATGGCAACTTATCGTGAGGCAGTTATTTCCAGAAACGAAGAAAAAACCTCACCGTTTTGTTACAAAAGTAGTCACCTGATCTGCATTTTGTAGCATTCCCCAATGCTTCAGCTCAATTCTCGATCTTTAAATAACATAGCGAAGCTAGTAATGTTTGAGTGGGCCATGGTTTACATCATTGTCTGCATCATTTGTTCAATCAAACAAGAGTCCGGTCACAAATTCAACATTAGTAATTGCTCGCATGTTACAGGCAAATAGATGTTGTCAGCAAGCACAAGGAAAGTGAACCTCTACCCCACCCTTTCAAGTAAGAAATACCCATTCCTGCTGGCACCATCTGATTAAGAAAGCCAGGGAGCGGAGCATGGGGGTGGGAGAAGGTGAGGAATTGTTGCTTGTTCAGTTCTGTGGAAAATTATGGAAAAATGTTAAAGGGGGGAAACAGGGCTCAGCAAAGGTTATTAACAGAATAGAGAGTATGAAAAGGGTCAGGAATTTGACTTCCAGGCACAGCAGCTAAGGGGGCAACTATGAGAAGGGGTGCAGTCAAAGCAGTATTGAAAGTGTTGTACTTAAATGCACTCTGTATATGAAACATGGTAAATGAGGTTGTAATGTAGATTGAAGTTGGTGGGTTTGATGTTGTGGGCATCACAGAGACGTGGCTGCAAGAGGATCAGGGCCGGGAACCTAAATATCCGAGGATACACATACTATCGAAAAGACAGGCAAACGGGCAGAGGGGGCGGGGTTGCCTTGTTTGTAAAAAATGACATTAAATCGATAGAAGAAGTGAATTAAAGGTGGTGAACTGAATCTGTATGGGTAGAGTTGAGGAACTGCAAAGGAAAAAAGACCCTGATGAAGTACAGGCCTCCTCGCAGTTTTCAGGATGTGGGGAAGAAAATAAATCAGGAAATGGAAAAGGTATGTGAGAAAGGTACTGTTACAATAATCATGGGGAACTTCAATACGCAGTGGAAGGGGAAAATCAGGTTGGTAGTGGATCTCAAGAAAAGGAATTTGTGGAATGTCCACGAGTTGGTTTTGTTGGAGCATTTGCAGTAGATCCCACCAGGGAACAGGCAATTCTGGATTTGGTGTTGCGGAAAGAGACAGACTTGATTAAGGAGCTTAAGGTGAAGGAACGTCTAGCAGGTAGTGAACATAATAATGATAGAATTCACCTTGCAGTTTGAGAGGGAGAAGCTGGAATCAGATGTAACGGTATTACAATTGAGTAACGGTAACTCCAAAGACACGAGGGAGGAGCTGGCCAGAGTTGATTTGAAAGGGGATCCAGTAGGGAAGACAGTGGACCAGCAACGGCAGGAGTTTCTGGAGGTATTTCAGGGGGCACAGCAGAAATTCATACCAAGGAAGAAGCAGCATATTGAGGGGAGGAAGGGGCAACCACATCTGACAAAGGAAGACAGGAACAGCATAAAAGCAAAAAAAGCATACAACGTGAAGATTAGAGGGAAGCCAGAAGACTTGGAAGCCTTTAAAAACCAGAAGATAACTAAAAAAAGCAAAAAGGGGGGCAAGAATGAAATATGAGTAAGCTAGCTAGTAATGTAAAAGATGATTGCAAGAGTTTTTTGAGATAGTAAAAGGTAAGAGAGAGGCAAGAGTGAACATTGGACTGCTGGAAAATGAGGTTGGAGAAGTAGTAACGAGAAACACAGAAATAGCAGAGTAATTGAATAGTTACTTTGCATCAGTCTTCACAGTGGAAGACACCAGCAGCATACCAGAACTTCAACAGAGTTAGGGGACAGAGGATTAGGGGAGAAGGCAGGAGAATAGGGTTGAGAAACGTATCAGTCATGATTGAATGGTGAAGTAGACTCAAAGGGCCAAATGGCCAAATTCTGCTCCCTGTCTTATGTTTTTATGGTCTTTGAGAGAATGCATCTAAATGATTACTTCTGTTAAACAGATTATTCCAGCTCTCTTCAAGTTATGAACTGTATATATTAAATATTGAGGTCACCAAAGACCAGTACATGGGAGGATTATAGCCACACAGAATTATATTGGAAGGATATTAGAGGTATACACCACAGAATCAAAACTGCAATAAAGCAGGAGGAACAGGAAAACAGAAATTAGTTGCTATGGGGCAGCACGATGGCTCAGTGGTGAGCACTGTTCCGTCACAGCACCAGCGACCCGAGTTCGATTCCAGCCTCGGGCGACTGGCTGTGTAGAGCTTGCACATTCTCCCCGTGTCTGCGTGGATTTCCTCCGGGTGCTCCAGTTTCCTCCCACAGTCCAAAAATGTGCAGGTGAGGTGGATTGGACATGCTAAATTGCCCATAGTGTCCAGAGATGTGTAGATTAGGTGGGTTATAGGGGGATGGAGATGTGTCTGGGTGGGATGCTCTGAGGGTCAGTGTGGACTTGTTGGGCCAAAGGGCCTGTTTTCACACTGTAGGGACTCTATGATTGTCTGTTGAACTGATTAACCTATAGGGTTCAAACAATTATTGTCCTACTTTGGTATACCTGAATTTTACATGGAGTATTGAAATGTAATTTCAGGCCAATATTCAGTGTGTGCAATGCAGTAAATTAAAACTAATTGGCTAGTTCTTTCTTGTCCTTCATAATTGCAATTTTCATAACTTAAGTTTGAACCCTAAGGCTGTAGACTGTAAGAAAATTAGCCATTTCAAACTGAAAAAATTATGTTGCTTACAGTGAGCACTGGTCATGAAGGCACCTAACAAATTTAAGGTGTTGTATGTCTGCACTTCAGGAACGTTTGGTGCAGGTTATAACCGAAAGACAGGCAACCGATCAAAATAATCTAAAAAGGTCCTCGTTCAATTCTTCGGGTCCGGTGACCCGAACGGAGGAAGGGTCACTGGACCTGAAACGTTAACTTTGATTTTTTCTTCACAGATGCTCCTAGGCCTGCTGAGCTTTTCCAGCAACTCCTGTTTTTGTTTCTGATTTACAGCATCCACAGTTCTTTTGGTTTTCATTCAATTCTTCCCTGGGAGAGGCTCAGTTGGAAAAGGATATGGGGTTGATCACTTATCCTTGATTTCAACGGTGTTTGAAATAACCATTATCAACCAGGCCAATTGAGTACTGGGGTGTGTCTGCAGAGCACTGGAGTGTTAAAAGAGCAAGTTATTCCGATATGTTACTGATCAATTTGAGATCATTTCTGTGTTAAACCTGCACTTTGACTAGCAACTCCACTTAATGTTTGGGACTGTGACATTAATTAGTCTGTCATAACCAAAGATTCTGACTCACTTTACTTTTCTATTAGATTCTGCAATGACCTTTCAGTTTCTTTTTGACTTCCTCTTTGGGTTGGAAGAGTATTTTGGACCACACGACGTTCCTCATGCTTTCCCTTTGTCTGACTTTCTCTTTAAAGCAAAAAAGATTTATCATCATCATCATCATCAGGCCCCCGCTGATGATGATGACTCTCTTCCACTCTCAGGGGGAGTCTGTAAGTAGCTGTACAGACCCAGTGCGGCTTCTGCAGATTCTGCCACACTTGGGGCAGAAGGTGGACACAGGAAAGGGTGGATGGGGCGTTGGTGTGACTGTTTTTGCCTGGCTTCCACTTTTTCCCGACAGCAAGTCTCCAGGTGCCCAACGCTTTCCTAGATGCTCCTCCTCCACGTTGGACAGTCTTGGGGTAGTGATTCCCAGGTGTCTGTGGGAATGATGCACATCACCAGTGAGGCCTCGATGGGTATCCTTGAAGCAGCTCCTCTGTCTACCCGGGGCTAGCCTGCTGTTTTGGAGCTGGGAGTAGAGGGGCTGCTTGGAGCATCACAAGTCAACCATGCAGATGACATGTCCAGCCCATGTTAGCCGATCAAGGGTTGTCAGTGCCTCATTGCTGGGGGTGTTGACCTGGTTGAGGGGTGCTGGTATTGATACATCGGTCTTCCCAGTGGATTTGCAGGATCTAATGGTGCTGACGGATCCTCTCTCCAATCTTCACTAGATAGGCGAATACACTTAGTTCCCTCACAGCCACTCCATTCACATAATTGTCCTCATCATCTCATTAGTCTTGCCCTCTGACATTCTGACCATCACTGAACTCTCCAAGTTCCATGCCTAGTGCATCATGACTCATCTTCACTTTGTGGTTGGTTGGCTCGCTGAGCTGGTTCGTTGTTCCGCAGACATTTCATTACCCTGCTGGGTAACATCATCAGTGCAGCCTCCAACAAAGCGCTGTTGTGTTTTCCTGCCCGTTATTTAAACTCTGGTGTCCGTTAAGCTGGATTACCTCACTTCCAGTTTTCCTTCGCAGTGGAGTATATACAGGGTCTATCTCTATGTATTTGTTGATGGCCTTCTTAGTGGAGAACCAGGCCTCTAGGAATTCCCGTGCTTGTCTCTGTTTGGCCTGTCCCAGGATCCTGGTGTTGTCCCAATCGAATTGGTGGTTTTCCTTATCCATGTGGATGGAGATGAGTGAATACTGGTCGTGTCTTTTTGTTGC